TGCGCCCTGTGTACACCCTGTGTACACCCTGTATGCACCCTGTATGCGCCCTGTGTACACCCTGTGTACACCCTGTATGCACCCTGTATGCGCCCTGTGTACACCCTGTATGCGCCCTGTGTACACCCTGTATACACCCTGTCTGCACCCTGTGTACACCCTGTATGCACCCTGTGTACACCCTGTATGCACCCTGTATGCACCCTGTGTACACCCTGTGTATACCCTGTGTACACCCTGTGTATACCTCTATGTAAAAACCAAACCATATTCAGAAACAGTCTTTATAGTTTTAGAAACCACAGAATGGAACAATCTAAAGTCTGTTGGTCTTTATGTCGTCAGACTCCAACTTATCTGCTGACTCCCAGTCCTCTACTGTCCAACATCCACTTCTGGAGCACCCTCAGTCCTGTTGCTCAGCTCAGCCCGGCGACGATGCGCCAGGGGGGACACCTGTTCCAGGTGAGCATCAGACGTCATTGAGCATTCAGTCAACGTTCAGACTCGAGGAGAGGCTGCATATCTTACGTTTTCTCTTCTTCTGTGTTCCAGTTCCCTTCAGTCCTCACCCCCCAGTTTCAGATCCCAGTACAGTGCCTGGATGGGACCAACACACCTGGACCCATTTCTCCAGACCCTCAGAAGACATAGGACCACAGTCGCCCCCTTACCCTCCATTTTCTCCTGCCTCCTCCAGGATGACAACATGTAAGCCATCTTTCTGTTCGTCATCGGTGTGGAGCCTCAGAGTTCACGCAGTTCATCATTGTGGACGGACAAAGGGAGAGGACAGGTTTCTGCACGCCGTGTTTGATGTGGGGGGTGTATCACTTTGTCTTGGGACATGTACACCACCTGGACACTTCTGTCCTCCCACCATCATCCTCTTGTACCTACACATCCATTTTGTCTGACTTATTTTGGGATCCTCAGTCACAGCAGCTCAGAGGAGGGAAGGATCTCCATGGTAACGGTGTGTGGACCGGATCAACAGACACATGAGTGTGGGCTGCAAATATCCATGTTTTTGTTTTATTCTCTGATCTCCTGTGCAGACAGGAGTTCCTGACCTGTTTCTGACTCTCATGTCTTTGTTCCAGGGAAATGCTTTAATTATTACCTGCATGTTTACATGTTGCTCCTTGTAGCTTTTAATATGAACTAAACATCATCATCATCATCGAGCAGCATCATTTTCAGCTGCTCTCAGCTGTGACTGAACTAAGAACAAGACTGTTGTTTCTCTGTTAGACACCCCCAATCTGAGCCCAGCCATGATTTATGCCTCCATTGTGTATTCTATGTAATGAAGTGTGTGTGTGTGTGTGTGTGTGTGTGTGTGTGTGTGTGTGTGTGTG